GATCTTTTTTTTTTTTTTTTTTTTTTTTTTTTTTTTTTTTTTTTTTTTTTTTAAATAATTCCTGCAGGGCCCAAATAGTGTATGGTAGGTACCTTTTAAATTTAAACTTGCGGAGAGGGCTGCCAGCTCAGTGCTGGGACTTATGGTCAGGTTGGCTGCTGGTCAGGAAGGTTAATTTGGCAGAAATTTTTTAGATGGAATGATGGGCTCATTGATCTACATATAAGTTAGCTTTGCCACAGAGTTTCTGTCTTCCCTCAGAACAAGTTTGCACATGTGAAACTATACCAGAAGCATCTTTTCATCTGCAAAGTTAAATAGCACAGTGCTTACTTGAAGCTACGTAAAGAGCCAAGAGGAAGTGTGGGGCAGGGAAGTAAGAACAGGAGAAAAACAAGACAAATTTGGCAAAACAGAGTTTTTATCTGGGCAGGGGTGAGCGTGTGTGCACCTCTTTCTAGTCTTAAAATAAGCCTTTGGTATTTCCCTGATTTTTATAATTGGTATAAAGTAAAACCTCTACTGTGTTATGCCTGGAAACGTGATCCTGTGGCCTTCATAATGTCTGGTTAGCCTAGTCACGCAGAGGTCCTGGAACCATGATGATAGTATGTGATCAGTATAACAGAATACCACTGGCTGCTGAAGAGGTTACAGATGTTTCCCCTTCTGCTGCTGATATAAACACTAGCTCTCTTTTACTAGAGTAAAAAATGATCACATTTCAACTTCTCAAATATTTGGGGAGTTTTTTCTTTTGCCTCTTGAGACATGGATGCTCCCCATCTAGGAGCTCAATACAGGCAGTCCTTGGACTTAGGACACAACTGGTTCCTGAAAACCACATCTTAAGTCGAAACGTTGTAACTCGGAACCAATTTTCTCATAAGAAACAAGGTTATAAGTGGGGGATTGGTTTCTGAACCAAGACCCAATACCCTATTTTCACCAAAAATAACCCAGAATGTTATGCTCAATTATAGAAGAGTAACATAGCTACATTAATATAGTTATATTGTAAATAGCAATCATTGATTTGGAAGGACTTCTTTGAGGTGACTTTGGACTTTTTGAAAGGCTCTCGGTTGGACTTTCTGAAGGGTTCTTAGCTGGAGTTTTCTCAGAAGTCTTGGCTGCAGGTTCTTCTGGAGTCTTGTCTGCTTTTTTTTTTTTTTTTTTTAAAGGAAATGTCCGAGGATGCTTGGACAGATGTTCTTCAGGGAGAGGAGCGATGCAGCGAACTTGTTTGCTGGTGTGGCATTGCATCAGAACAAGTGTTGTAAGTCAAAACTGGTGTCATAAAGTTGAAACGGTGTCAATTTATAAATGTTGTAAGTGCAAAACGTTGTAATTCGAAACATTGCAAGTTGAGGACTGCCTGGCTATAGTTGGATGTACCTTGTGCATACATTCAGCCTAGTAAGTGTTTAGACTTATCCCTTTGGCTTTGGCATTTCTACTTCATTTCTGCAGAAGGCAGCTCAGGAGTAGCACCTTAGACTGACTGGTTCAGAGAGGCCTATGCTTTTGCAGGTGAGTCTGCTTCATCAGAAGTTATAAATGGACTGACAAAGTAGGCTGTCACCTATGGAAAATTTTACCTTTCTGAATCAGTTAATGTCTAATGTACTATCCTGCCCTCTTTGTAATTTCAGACTAATGTGGCTAACTATGCCTCTCTACCACATTTAAAATATGATTATTTGGACACAAGTCCAGATATTTAAGCATTTTTTTCCTTTGAGATGAGCTGATGGAAAGCATTATGTAAGGATGATTTTTATCGTGTGGCAGTTAGTACAAAAAAGTAATTGAGGCCCCTTGAGTCCTTGGGTATGTCTCTACTGCTGGCTGCTATTTATTATAAAGAGACTTGAGCAAGCTCAAATATTGGAATCAGTCTAGCTTTGGTAGCCCTGAGTTCTGTATGGGATAATTCAGACCGTGTACAGCAGCGGTCACCAACTAGGTAGATCCCGGAGCCTTTTGGAGTTGAACCAAGGCTGGGGTGGGGGACTGAGTGCTTGCATGGATGCATGCACACACCCCAGCCCAGCAGTCAGTCTGTGGGGAAGGGGATGGCTAGATCGAGGCCTCCACGGTGAGGGACAGTGCTACAGAGGCAGAAGCAGGGGTAAGTTGAGTGGGGCCCTGGCTGGGTGGGACTTAACCTGCTGGGGAGGCGCGCCCCCAAATAATTTTTTCTCCCTCTGCCTCGATCTGCTCCCTCCCCTTCCCTCCCCACAGACTTGCCTGCTGGGTGGGTGGGGGGCACATGGTAGATCTCGGAGTGCTTTTAAATGCCAAAGGTAATCTATTTAGAAAGGTTGGAGACCACTGATATACAGGTATACTGCACTATACAGAGCAGCATAAATGTACCCTTTGAGACATTTTGCTTTTGAGAGTTAACTTCAACTATATAGGAAAATACCATTGCTCTTCTTTCTATCCAAAGTCTGGCTTAATGGATTTTTTTCTTTTACTTTGGTTGGATTCTCAAAATCTGTAACTGTTAACATTAGGATAAAAGGTAATTGATACAATAGATGCATTTTTATTAACCCTGAGCAATAATACAGAGCTTCCTCCACTTTTTGCAAAAGTGTGATAGTCTTCTTCTTTAAGACTGGATATTTTTAATCATGAAACAGAATATCTTTGCCATTTGGTGATTGAATCCTTTCTTATTCTGAAGTGTATTTCTAAGTCACTTTCGTTGCCCCTTTCTTTTCTATAGCATGTGGTAGGTGTGATGCAAAGGAAATAAGAATTCTGAGTAAATGTCACTCGGATCAAATTACCTTCTCCTTGTTTTAAAATGGTATGAAATCATGATGTGAAAGAGAAAAAGGGAATGCAAGTGAAAAGGTGAGCAAGCAGAACTTTTGTTATGAGACAGCCAGCCATCATCATGACCTTATAGCATTTGAATATAGAATTATAGGGTGTTTCCCTAAACATAAGCCTAATAATCAGATATCATTTACTACTGCAAACTATCAATGTGAAACACTTGCAATCTCAGTTGATCTGTTACTATTTTGAAATTCATTTATGCCCATAAGCATTGGGGCTTTTGTGAATTAGTTTAATGAATCATCACTGTTTTAGTATAGGTATTATGGGCTTAGTGCCATTCAGTCTTCTGCCAGGAAAATCTGGTTTTAATCTTGGATTCTTCCACTGTGAATTACCACCCACTCCGAGCATTGTTTTGGGAAGTTGTTATTAGAAAGTATGAGTCTTAAGTGAGAACTAATTTTTTGATAATTTCCTGGATATTGTTTGCCAGGACACTTTCTACCTTACAGTGCATTTGGCTAGAAGCCATAGCAACAATTCTCAATGATCATTTAAACATAATACTTTGTGGTAGTTCATTTTGCATTATATGGATTTGACACATTCTGTGGAATATTTATACTGTGCCACTGCTGTATATTAAATTTTTTGGCTTCAATGGCTTGTCGTCACTGCAGCAGGCTTATGTTGGTTAATGTCACAATGACCATCAGTAATTTTTAAGGAAAGTTCTTTTATTAGCCATGGAAAACTCGAGTAACTTTGTTTTAATTTAACTAAGTTTTAAATTCAAAAGCTGCCAGTTTGAACTTGCGAAAATATCTGAAATGGTTGCTAGTTTAGTCAAATGGCTCTCCGGTTGTCATAAAAGCTTTTTAATGCTTATTGCTTTCCAAAAACCAATTGTTTCTATTCTGTCTAGAGTCAAGTAGTGTCTGCTGATAACGCTGCTTATGCAGGCACTGCTTGGTGTGGTCTTTCAGTATTTATAAATTTGGAAACTGCTATAAAGAATAGAAAACACTAGTTATTAATTTTCTTTCTGATTTATTCCACTATTGTAATCCAGTTACTCAATCATAGTTAGGATGGCAATACTGCATGGTTATGGTTTTCAAACTTTTTGTTTTTACTCTTGATGTTGTTTAAACACCACATTGTGTTGACACTGGTTTCTTTTAAAAAATGAGTGACTAATTCCTATTTACGCTAAGTAGCTTTCCCTAGATATCTGCAGATTTAATTTTATACTAGACATATTTTAACCCAAAACAATTGGCTTTTTTCCATCCTGCCAGTCAAGCGTAATTGGAAGAGACTGTGGTTCTGCTGAACAGCCTAAGAATTAGCAATATGTGTATATTACAACTGGCCTTAACATGCAAGTATTTTAGCACTGACTCCAGGAATGTCTAATTCCTTTTGCTATTAGGTGGAAAAAACAGTTAATTGATTTCACTTCAGTCTGCAGGAAATATACTATGTGGGAATCTGATGACCTGTTCTCTTATTAAAGTAGTGTTTGGAGGTAATAAAAGTTCTATTTTCCTGAGATTTTCCATGTTACAACATTGTTTCCTTTTAAACATTATTTGTCATCTTTGTGTGAATTGACTATTGGCTGTGGCTTGGACGTGAAAACTGATTATGTCATTTAAAAAAAAATGGTTTGGGTTAACTGCTTCTGGGTTGGTTTGTGTTTGTTTTTGTACTGGTGGTTCTTTAAACCTTATGGTTAGCTAATTACTTATTAAAATACTTAAGATTCCCATTCCTGTTGATGTGTGACTTCTGACATGTATGAGACCAGATTTGCAAAGATATCTGGTTGCCTGGCACTAACAGAAATTAAGTAGAGCTAGATGTCTAAATACTTTTAATTAGTGAAATTACTGTTGAATTCACCCTCATTTAGTGGAGAAAAAACAGACACTTAAGGCAGCACAGTTGCTTCCATTGTTTTATTTGATACTTTGCTTAAGTGGTGCTTGTTTTGTGCATGCGTCTTGTAGTAGCAGTAGGACATGTTTAAACATCTGTCTGTTCATGTGTGCTCATTAGAGTTAAGGAATCACTGACTTGAGGTGAAAGGGGACAGTGGGCTTCCCTCCCGTGATGTTTCTGACTGTCTGCGTACTTAGCTTTTGCTTCAGTTGATGTTTGATTCATGTAGAAAAGGATGTGTTCTCAACCAGAACTAGAAATGTTTGTTACTGAAATGAAACTGTTCAGGCTACAGAATCTGAATTGGCCCTGGTGAGTACATAAATTACCCTGGAAAATGCAGCATTTGAGGCCACAGACAAGTGTGTTTCTGTAGCACATGCAGCAGCACATTGTAGTGCTGAAGATAGATAGCACTGTGAGGGGTGTCCACACATTCAGAACCTTCCAGCTGGAGTACTACAAAGTTGCTGAAAACTGTGTTCTCTAGCCAGAAGGTAACAACAGGTTACTCCTGTTTTCCCCACCTCCTGACCCATGGAAACCTTACATTTTATACAACTAGTGAAATATCAACAAACCTGCTCTTTAGGCTTCAGAATCATGATTGCTTATTCTTGCTTTCTCACGCATTTGAGTGACTATCAAATATCAGCTCTTTACTCTTAAATAGCCAAGACCATATTTTCAGGTGGCATAAAGCACCAGTTTCACATGTTTCTTAATTTAGCTATTGAATTTGTGATACAATTCAGGTTCAAATTAAAAGAAGTGAACAGCTGGAATGGCCAACATTTCCTGACTAGTGGGATTTGAAACAAATTAATTGCCTAGCCTTCTAATATCTTGTAGCATTTGTTTCCTGGGGGATTATGATGCATCAGGTTTTAAATTAGATACTGGTCCCCAATTTAGCTGCCCTCCTCTTCTAGCTGCGGTCCAGAACTGAATAAAACACCCCTTGAACTTCAGGTTAGGGTGTTTTCAATCTATCTTTGATAGATTGTTCAAAGTGAAAAATGGAAGTCCCAGGAGCTGTTTTGAATTCAGAACTAAAAATCTTGGAATACTTAATGTATATTTTCATGACAGTGAATAGCTTGCAACATAAACAATTCAGTGCCAGATCTTAACTTTTGTATGATTGGTATGGCTTTTCTTCCCTAGAAATTTATCTCAACTGGGGAGCTTCGTGACCTTTTCAGGCATCAAAGTTCCTGGAGCCTGCAGTTATTGGGCTATTAAGTTCTTGTAACTTCTCATACAGCTTAGCCTGATGATCATTGTTTGTCACTCAAACTTTTGTTTGACTCCATATATTATTAGGGGAATGTGTTATAGGTACAAAGAGGAGTCCGGTGTTACATGCCACTGCGTTCTTTTAATGAAAGATGCCCATTGTTAAACATAGGTATCTTTTGATAAGAAAAATATGAAATAATAGATCTAACTTATTTTTCTGCTTGCTCTTAAGGAGCAAATTTTGTGATTTGTGATTATGATTCATATGACCTTTCCTACCAAGAAGGTAGAAAGAAATGTGAATAGTTTAAAATCTATATGGAAGTTAATGCTAATATATTGGGAATCAATATTAATACATTCAGATTTTCCTAATTCCTCCTGGTTAGTTATAGGTTCTGAGTTTTGGCAGTGGAATGCAAAAAGTAGTTTAAATTAAATGCTAATAGTTAGTCAGATGAAATGGGCTTAGATGGGCTTTACTTTGTTTCAGTGCCTTGGAGCTAATCATTTACAAATTGCTTTGCTAAGGGGCATGGATTAATGGCATTCCAGCATCTTAAAATAACCCTCACTATGTCATAATAGAAAAATGTACATTTTGAAGTGAAGGTGCTATAAATGTTAACAAATGTATTATTTATGAAAAATGTGACCAAGACATAAAGGGAAATTAAGAGTATAGGTTAAATTATGTCTCATTTGAGGTCAAATGGTTATATTGTTAATTATTTTCTATTAGCTGTGGTTCCTTGATATGGTTAGTGACAAATTTGTCCCAGTTCATTTTGTTTTATTTGTTTTATTTCACCTGAACCGTAAGTTTTGGGTTTTGTTTGTTGTTGTTGTTGTTGTTTTTACCGGAAGTAAAATATATTAGCAGCGAGGAAAAATGTTAGTATCACAAGTTTAATCATAACATCTTTTATGAGCCTACAAAATGCTTATTAATTAATCCTGTGTCACTTTTTTCACAGTTTTCAGAGTTGATTAAAATAACCTTTCTCTATTTGTAATGCATTTTAGCTTTATGAAATCTAAGATTTAGGGAATGTAGTTCTAAACTCTTCCCAAGCATATTCTTTAAGACAGGCTTTCTTTTTTTAAAGGTTCTACCTCAGAAGTCCTGTTAAAGGTAAGTTTCACTATAAATGTATTGTACATTTTATTTATGATGGCTAGCTTGGTTGTGGAAACTTTATTGTAGACTTCTTGCATGCATCAATACAATGGGTTAGCAAACTTTAACCATTAGTCTGCAGTTTCCCTGTATGAATAAGTTCTTGAATTGTTCAGAGTAAACTAATTTTTAGTTTAATTGTTTTATTGACCTGGAGCCTGTCTTTGGACACTTGATTTTTTGGCATGCTTTTATATGACACATGCTCTGAATTGCTAAGACCTTTTCAGGGATTGACAGTGGCTTCTTCACTAATCAATGCAGCCTAATTCTGCATCACACCACATCTATTGTTATTGTTCTATGACTTGGATCACAATTCTTGGATTAGAAATTTTAACCAAGATGGTCATTATAGTGTCCCTTGGCTTTGCATTCATTTAATTCCAGTCTTCAAATCTATTTCAGTCCTTGCTGACTTGTGTGTTAGATTGAGATAGATATTTAAATTGCTGTACCATATTTGACAGTACAAAACACTACTATTAGCCTAGAAGAGTAGTTGTAATAAATTGGATGTTCATTTCTCTATGTGCGCTATGCTGTGGTCATTCCTGAATAGATTTTAGGACACCATTTAGGCCCACAAATGTCAGTTACCCTTCCAGATCTATTTTATAGTATGAAGATTAAAATCCATCAAAATTAGATATGAAGCTAGATAATCAGACCAAGGCTTTGTCTATCCTAGTGATTCTTGACCAAGGTATCTTGAAATCCTTTTCAGGGTGCCACACAATGTTAGCACTTGTAGTTGTGCAAACATGATTAAAAAATAAACCCAGAATTTCAAATAAGAAGTCATGGTGTTAAAAACACTCTACCCTGTTGTGGTCTTTCTGAATTCTTTGTAACAGAAGAATTGCTCTATTTTTCTGAAGTAAAAAAAGGAGTGAAAGCTAAGAGCTGACATTTTCTGAATGATGCCTTGACTCTAATGACTCCAGTGATTGAGAACCACGGGTCTAGTGTAAGGTGAAAGGCAAGTTGCTAAAACATACTTGCATATTTGAAAAGCCTAGTGTAGACTAACGCACACTAATTTGGTCAATTTCAGGCTCTTGCCCTTTTTGGAACTTAATTCCAAGATCAGAAAGTAAACCTCTGAAAGAAGACACTTTGCTGAATTGTGAGCTATTTACTGAATTTCAGATTGCTAATTTGAAATACTTTTGGGGTGAGCAAGAATTTTCAGCTTTACCAACCTGTTGTGTTGAAGTATACACTGACTTGCTTATGTTATGCTTTTCAAGTGGGTGTTTTTGAGCCAGTAGGACTTTGTTTTTGATGTGATAAGGTGACTGGGTAGAGAACAGTGGACAATAATATACCTTGACTTTAGCAAGGCTTTTAACACTTTCTTCCATGACATTCTCATTAACAAGCTATGGAAATACAGACTAGGCAAAGGGTAATGTGGATACACAACTGGTTGGATCATCGTGCTCAAGGAATAACCCTCAGTGTCTAGTTGGGTGGAGGAATGAACTGGGGTTTCCCAAGGAGCTGTCCTGGGTCTGGTTTTGTTCAATATCTTCATTAATGACCTGGACAATGGGGTAAGTGTACATTTAACAAATTTGTGGATGACACCAAGTTGGGTGGAGTTTCAGACACTGAAGGATAGGGCTAGAATCCAGAATGACCTAGGTAAACCAGAGAAGTGGTCTGCAATCAACCAGATGAAGTTCAAACATGACGAGTGCAAAGTCCTGTACATGGGATGGTATAATTGCATGCACAAATACAGATGGGAAAAGTATTGGCTAGGCTGCAGTATGTCAGAAGACCTGGGGTAATGATAGACTGAATGTGAGTCGAGAATGTTCTCTTAATGCAAAAGAGCCAACAGCATACTGGTTGCACAAACGGAAGTGTTAATGGCAATTAAGGGAAATGATTCTTTCGCTTTATTCAGCACTGGTGAGGCCCAACCTAGAGTACTATGTCTAGATTGGGTCTCACACTGAAGAAGAATGCAGATGGATTGGAAAGAGTCCATCAGAGTGACAAAATTTTAATAAGAGGCCCAGGAAGCAAGACTTATGAGAGAGACTGAAAGAAATAGAGTAATTTAGTCTGGAGAAGAGAAGACTAAAGGGGCGGGGGAGTTGATAATGGTCATCAAATAGCTGAAGGGAAATTATAGAGACAATGGAGGTGGGCTTTTTTTTTTTTTGCCTGTAGGGATCAGGGCTAGGAGCAATCATTTCAAGATGCAGCATAAGAAATTTAGGGTGGGGACTAGAAAGAACTTTCTGACTATATGAGCATGGCCAAGCTTTGGAACAGGCTACCTGCAGAAGTTGTAGAATCTCCATCCCCAGAAATTTTCAAGAGCAGGTTAGACAGACGCTTGCCTGTTATGGTTTAGTCAAGAATGATTCTGCCTTGAGCAGGGGGCTGGACCAGATAACCTTCCAGGCCTGCTTCTGTGATCCTATGCAATACCTGTAAAGCCTTATGTAGACAATTTCTTGAAGAACTAGCTCTTAATTCTAGCTTTTGAGCTTTGTGTTATGGGTTTGTCTAAGATCTTATGCCAGGCTACTCATGAGGGTTCTCATAATTCAGCCTCCACAAAGTCTCAGTCTAATTTTTTTTTATTTCTATATAATGGAAACGTCAAATAAGTCTGTCCTGTTTGAAGTACCTTAACGTAATAACACCATAATATCTTGCATACAACATACCCCCGAATAAGATGCATACCTTGTCTGACGGTATGAATTAAAAAAAGATTTTTTTTTTCTTCAAATACAGGTAAGTAGAAATGTAACAGGGGCCCCAAATCCCCATTATTATTCCAGGGTGGAGGCTGCAGAGGAGCAGGCTGCAGAGCTGTAAGCCTACTAATTAGGTGCAGGCTGTAGAGCCAGACCAGAAGGAGTGGAGCAGAGCAGGAAGGAGGAACTGCTGTGCTTCATTAGCAAAGAAGAGCCTAGTGACCAGAAGGGGTGGAGTCAGACAGGGGATGTAAACAGAGCTTTGAAGCTGAAGCACCTGAAAGCTCTCACTGGTATTCTGAGGGCAGCCTCCTAAATTCATAATAATTACCAACAAAAGCCATAGCATGGAAGAGCGAGGGAGGTGGCCAAGGGAGAGGCCAGAGCGCCTAAAACAAGGGTGGGAAAAATATGGCCTGTAAGCTGCATCCAGTCCACCAGGCCATTCAGTCCAGCTCACAGGGCCCCTAAAAAATTTAGTAAATTTAATATTTATCTGCCCCTGGCTGCCTGTCAAAGATGACAAGAGCCAGGGGCAGTAGGACCCAGGGGGAGCTGGCAGCAGAACTAAACAGCTGCCGCAGCAAGTCTGGCCCAGCTCTGCCCCCCTCCAATCTCCCCCACCCTGAGCCCCAGCTGGAAGCCTCTGCATAGCAGGGGCTTCTGGAGGCTTCTGGCCTGGGGCTGTTCCTGCCTCCCTGCACCGAGGGAAATGCAGATAAGAAGGCAGGGGAGGGCTGCAGGTGATTGTCCCAGTCCTCAGAGCTGGCTGGGCTGGATCCTGAGGTCTCAGCGCTGCAGCCCGGAACTGCATGGTGCCAGTGGGTGGGAGAGCAGGGAAATGGCTGCAGCAGGCAGGGGAAAGGGGCAGTGATAGCTGAGTGAGCACGGGGCCCATGCCAGTGTCCTGGAGCCAGCACTAGCAAGGCCCTGAGTGGAACGGCAGGAGCATGGGGCTGGGTTGCCAGGGGCTCTGTGGAGCCAGGCCAGCTTCCTCCTCTCTCTGAGCAGTGTAGCCTGGACTCTGCAATCCTGCTGCTCCATTCTGTGCTCCTCCAGTGCTGGCCTTGGTGCACTGGCACAAGCCCTGCACTCGTACCGGGCTGTTGCTGCACTTTGCGTGCCTGCTCACTCCCCC